GACTATTGGGGACAGATTTGGTTCATGATGCCTTAGAGAAGGTGAAGGTGATTCAGGAGAGGCTTCGTATAGCGCAGTCACGTCAGAAGAGTTATGCGGACGGGAAAGTTAGAGATGTGTCCTACATGGTTGGTGAGAAGGTCTTGCTGAAGGTTTCGCCCATGAAGGGTGTTATGAGATTTGGAAAGAAAGGAAAGTTGAGTCCACGATTCATTGGACCTTTTGAGGTACTTAGGAGGATTGGGGAGGTGGCCTATATGCTTGCTTTGCCACCCAGCTTGTCGAGTGTGCATCCGGTATTTCATGTTTCTATGCTCCGGAAGTATGTTGGGGACCCGTCCCATGTTTTGGATTTCAGCACGGTTCAGTTGGATGGTAATTGGACCTTTAATGTGGAGCCAGTGGCTATTTTTGGTCGTCAGGTTCGGAAATTGAGGTCAAAGGATATATCTTCTGTAAAACTGCAGTGGATAGCTCGGCCCGTAGAGGAAACTACCTGGGAGACCGAGCGGGAGATGCGGAGTAGATATCCTCACATGTTTGAGGCTTCAGGTATGTTTCTTGACTCGCTCGAGGACGAGCGTTTGTTTAAATTGGGGAGGATGTGACGATCCGGCCCATCGTCTCATGAGTTACCGCCCCGTTTCCCCCATTTTTATGCTTCTTCATGTTTCGTTATCGATATTCGGTGTTAGAGTTAAATCGGATTGGCTTTGATAGGAAATGAGACACTTAGTCTCTTTAAGGAAGGCTTATTTTGGAAAAAGTCAACCGAATGTTGACTATTGAGTTAGAGGGCTCGGATGTGATTTTCGGTGATTCGGTTAGCTTCGGGGGATGATATGTGCCTTAGTAGTGTGATCGGAATTTATTTTGGAGGTTCGGAGTAGAATTAGGCTTGAATTGGCGAAGTTAGTATTTTGGCGAATTCCGGTTGGCAGGTGAAATTTTGATACGGGGGTCGAAATGGAATTCCGAGAGTTGCAGTAGCTTCGTTAGGTGATTTTGGATGTTTGTACAAAATTTCAGATCATTCTGAGGTGTTTTGGTTGGGTTTTTGATCAAATGCGTATTTCGGAAGTTTTTAAGAAATTAGGCTTGAATTCGATGCGTTTTGGGTAATTTAATGTTGTTTGAGGTGTTTTGATGATTGGAAGAGGTTTGAATAATGTTATGAATTATGTTGGCATGTTTGGTCGGGGTCCCATGAGGCTCGGATAAGTTTTGGAAGAGTTTTGGAAGGTTTTTGTCGTTTGAGCATAAGCATGTAATGATCCAAAGGTCCATTTTTAATTCTAGAGATCGAAATTTTATTTCGAGATTTCCAGAATTTAAATAATGAATTATAGGAGTGATATGGAAAGTTTGGTCTAATTTCATCAAGTCGCGATTGGGTTTTTGACACGAAACATGAGTTAATTGTTTAACGAGCGAAATGGATATCGCACTGAGCAAACGAGCTCCAAATTGAGTTTCGATTGAAGGACTATGTTCGTATCATTATTTTTGACTCATAGGAACACGAATCATCGAGTTTCGAGTTCATATGATGGAGTTAGAGCCATTTTAGTAAAAAGAAAAGTGCTGAAATTTCTTTGGTTGCTGCTGTATTTTTTTTTAGCAGCGTGAACAGTAACAGCGCGGGTGAATAGTGACCACACGTGTGAACAGAAACCGCACGCGTGAACAGTACTTCCGAAAATTTTTGGGCACTGAGTTTATAAAACACTTCATCCGCGATTTTGGGTCATTTTTCCTCCGTGGTTGATCATTTTGAGAGTTTCTTGGTGGAAATTAAAGAGGGATTCAAGGGGGAACGACTTGAGGTAAGTTTCTTGGACTTAGAACTCGTTTTTATTGTGAATTCCACCTAGAGATTCATGAAATATAAGCCTACAAATCAAGAACTAGGGCTTGAATTTTGAAACCAAACAATTAGGATTTGATGGGTCATTTGAACTCGGATTTGGGTGGTATGTATAGACTCGTAGCGAGACAAGGAATCTGGTGATGTTAATTTTCTGATTTTTTGAGACGTGGGCCCGGGGCTCGGGTTTTGTCAAATTCGTGAATTTTGATATTTTCGATTGCTTTCGATTGGGTATTGTCTCTTTAGCATAATGCGACATATTCGTTGTGATTTTGGGCAGATTCGTCGCACGAGGAGGGTAATTTGAGAGGCAAGGGTATAGCGAGCTAGACTTTGACCGTTTTGAGGTGAGTAATTGATGTAAATGATGTCATGAGGGTTTGAAACCCCGAAATTTCACATCGTAACGCTATATTGAGGTGACTTGCACGCCAGATAATGTGCGTGGGGTAGAGCACCATTGGGGATTGTGACTTGGTTCGTCCCGAGAGATGTTTGTACCATGTTTTCTACTTGAACTAAATAANGTTTTTTTGGATACTACTGAAGGAAATGGAACCTAATTTCTAGGATGAAGGTTGCTATGAGAGATGAGAGAGAAGATTTTTTTGTTATTTTTAAGTAAAATAATTTTGATGGAGCTTATTTTTTGGATGGTGGTTGAACAACTAGAAGAGAGAAAATAACTTTAGACTACCATATATCAAATCCTAAAACGTTAGGCTTTTTTATACCAATTGTGGGACTTAGTTGTCATGTCATGCCAAATCCTCGTATAAAAGCTATGGAGTAATGAGTTTCACAGTTCTTACTCTTTGGGCCCAAATCATACGAAATGAGGTTCGATTCTGAATTGAAATGGGCCTTTCAAAGGGATATTTTGTTGGGAGAAATTCAAAAATAGCCAGATTTATAAGGATCATTCAAAAATAGTCACAGTTTCAAAGGTAATCGAAATTTAGCCTCTTTTCATATAAAGATAAATTTGAACGAAAACATTGTTCACAATCTGGAAACATACTCCAGCATAATATACTGGAGTTCTGTATAATATATCGGTCCAGCATAATATACTGGAGTTTGGAGCACCGGTGCTCCAGTCTCCAATATATTAAACTGGAGCCAGCAAAATATATCAGTCCAACATAATATGCTGGAAGTTCATAAATAGGTGCACTGAACTCCAGTATATTATGCTGGACTGGTCTTTGTTGCAGCAAAATAGTGGCTATTTTTCATTGACTTGGTAAACGCTGGCTATTTTTGAATGACCAGTCCGAAAACTGGCTAGACCGTGCTATTTTAACTATTTTGTTCCCTTCAAGATACTAAGAGCCCAAGAGTCCACTTGTTGTTTAACACAGTAAAATTGCATGGGGCGCCCTATTTGATCGCCCCCTTTTAACTTATACCCGTTTTATTTTTCCATTTGCATACATAACTATTTTTTTGTTAAAAGCATTTTAAAAAGACGATTTTGCCCTTCATGACTATTGACAAAATTATAGACTGCATGACAAAACTTCAACATGTTTTGGCATAAAGTTTTAGCAAATGAACTAAATAACTTAAGCACGTTTAGTCTGAAGTTTTAGCAAATGAACTAAATAACTTAAGCATGTTTAGTCCGAAGTTTTAGCAAATGAACTAAATAACATAAGCATAATGAACTAAATAACTTAAGTATGTTTAGTCTGAAGTTTTAGCAAATGAACTAAATAACTTCAGCATGCATTAGCAAAAACTCATTAGAAAGTTACATATTGCAAGACAAAAACATAAGCATGTTTTAATCTGAAGTTTTAGCATGAAGTTTCTGGTTTTTTGATAAAGCTTATGAGAGGAGAGGATGAGATCTTTTTCATGAATGAGGTTGCAGATCACACGATTTATCAGGGACGTAAGTGTCATATTACTACGGATTTTTTGTCAACTGGCTACCAAATTAATAATTTTTAAAAATAGGGTACATGTTAAAAGTGACACAAATATAAGGTACCGCTGCAAATCCCCCTTTTAACACAAGATGGTTAACAGCTCACAGGATTTGGCCCAATAAATGATGATTCATATTAATTTTTGAAGAGTTTACTCAAATAATTGCTTATCTATTTCATATATAATATATGTATAACTATCTAATTCATATATAATATACGTATAATTGTATATTATCAATATATACTCTACGTATACCTGCTAAAAAAAAGTAAACAACTATTTGAGTGACTATTTGTATAACAATCCTTATTTTTTAGTTCTCAATTTGCTTAAATTGCCACCATCTTTTCCTTTAGTCATTTGATTATTGACAGACTAGTTTTGAGTTTCACGTTGTTTCTCCGACTGGACTACGATATCCAGATCGACCATATTTGCGAGTCAACAAGATGATTGTCCAAAATCAATTAGAGTTAGCATTGTGTTTTCCATTTGTTGTGACATATCTAGAAAAAAACATCATTTGTCAATCAATCAGTTAAGTCTTGATTCTACATAGTTTACAACACATTTGAGATTTGGATATTTTTTTGGGCGAACCGGCAAACTAATAAATCTCACATATAAAAGTTTAAAATTAGATTTTTACAAGTATTTTTGCACGCGCTTTGACTATTTCACTGCATATTTGCCATATCACTTATATTCTTTTGCATTTATTGATGATAGCATATTTAGCCAAACTTCTAAAATCACCTTATTTTGAGAAGTGTTTTTCTCAAAAGTACTTTTGGTGAGAAGCAGTTTGAATTTGGCTAATTAATTAGAAAAGCACTTTTGAGCAGTAATTAGTGTCTGGCCAGGCTTTTGAAAACTGCTTCTAAATGTATTTTTCTCAAAAGTACTTCCCAGAAAAGTATTTTTGGAGAGAAGTTATTTTTTTCTTCAAAAACTGCTTCTACTTCTCCTCAAAAATATTTTTTTCCCATTTAAAAGTTTGGCCAAATACCTCAATTTTTTGCCCAAAAAAACTTGGCCAAAGAGGGTATGAATCTTTGAAGTTAACTGGTTATTCTTTGCAATCTAATTGCAAAAGAAAAAATGATTCTAATTTCTTCAGTTAAATAAATGGAAACAATTAAAGCTGACAGAGTAGGGTTTATAAATCTTTAAAAAAAAAAAAAAAAAAACTTTCCGCAAACTAAAACAAATCCACCTGAGCTTTACTATCAGAACCTCTTTTAACAATGGCCGTCATTTTCTCTCACTTATCCTCCCTCCGATCATCCGAGGCGCCGTCATTCTCTTCCCTCTCCCACTACGGCATTCAGTCATCGCGCCCTTCCGGCGCATTCGTTCCTTCTCCGGTCACATTTCCGGCCATTCGTCGACGCATCTCATGCCAGATCAGCTCTCCGGCATCCTCTCCTTCGTCGTCCGTCAATGGAAATGGTTCGCTTATTTTTTCTCCAAGTTTCCTTTTCTATGCATCTAATTTTGATATGGCATTTTAAATAGTATGTAATGTAATACTAGTAAAACCTAGAAATTTTGTTTAGTTCTGCTGCATTTTACTACCTAATCTTGTTGTACGTTTCTGATTACTCTAAAAATGTTCCTTTTTTTAATCTTATCCCTGCTTTTTTGGTCTGCCATGTCTGCATGTGCTGTTTTAGGTCTAAAAAACTCTTTTATTGTGTAAGTTGTAAAGACATTGTTTATAGATAGTTGAGAAGACCTGATAAGTGATTGTTGCTGAAATAATAATCCTTAGTGTTTATTTTTTCACATCTTCTTGGTGTAATATTAATGAGGTATTCCTGATTTACCAAAAAATAAGTTGAAGAACTAAAATACTCTGGCCTATAGGTTTTCAAAACATGAAATTTGATGTACTTTGTCATAGAGTTTCTCGTAATTAAGCTCAAGAGAACGTTAGATATAGAATGTTTGGTAATGGATCAAAACCATATTTTATTCAAAAGATGGGTGGAGAAGTGAGAATATGTCCTGTCTGTCATGTCTAAGTTACAACCTTTTGTGAGACATGGATTGGTATTTAAGAAGATTTTTTCTGGTGTCTGTTTAAATTTTCTATTCCAGCAAATGCCAATCAGAAGGACTTTTTACATATTAGCGATTTCGACAAGTCAACTATTTTGAACATCTTGGATCGAGCCAAAGAGGTCAAAGCACTGATAAAATCAGGAGAGAGGACATATCTCCCATTTCAAGGTAAAACAATGGCAATGATATTTGCTAAGCCATCCATGAGGACACGCGTTTCCTTCGAGACAGGGTTTTACTTGCTTGGGGGCCACGCTATATACTTGGGACCAAATGACATACAGATGGGTAAGCGGGAAGAAACTCGTGATATTGCTCGTGTTCTGTCTCGCTACAATGATATCATTATGGCCCGAGTTTTTGCCCATCAGGTATGCTGGTGAGTTTTCTGTTTTGACTTCTTCCTGGTGCATGGTGAATTTCCTGTTTTGACTTCTTGCTGCTAAAACTCTTATTTGTTTCAGTATCCTCTGGCAATGCCTCTCTTAGCAGCATTGTTCCATTCTATTAAATATTTATTTGCCCCTTTCTAAATATTAGTTGAATGAAAAGTTTCTTGATCTTTTCCGTTGGAGCTGAATTCTGGTCCATCTTGTACTTAATATCTTACAGACGAATAACAGTTTAATGATGTTGCCTTCCCTGCAAGTTAATTGAGCATATGATCCTTCAGGCCTAAATGTTCTTCAGGGTTTGTAAATGCTGAGATGTTGAATTGAGTAATTGAGATGCCAGGGTTGGACATTTCTTAGTCTGTTGCTTTCACACCAACTGTAAAAGAAAAGTTTTATCTATTTGTTTTTTGCTGCTGGTGCAGGACATTCTAGATCTTGCTAAATACGCAACTGTACCAGTGATTAACGGCCTGACAGACTACAACCATCCTTGCCAAATTATGGCCGATGCCCTTACAATAATTGAACATGTTGGTCAGCTGGAAGGAACAAAGGTTTAGCTCTTCCAGGCCAAAAATTTTATCATCTCCCAGTTTCTGTTTCTGGCGATATGTTTTTTTATAATTTAATGCTGGCTGCCGATTCCAGGTTGTCTACATTGGAGATGGAAATAACATAGTGCATTCTTGGTTGCTGCTGGCATCAGTAATTCCCTTCCACTTTGTTTGTGCCTGTCCAAAAGGTTTTGAACCTGATGAGGAAACAGTTAAGAAAGCACAACAGGCTGGAGTAAGCAAAATTGAGATAACTAATGATCCAAAGGAAGCTGTTAGAGGAGCTGATGTCGTGTACTCAGATGTCTGGGCTAGCATGGGACAAAAGGAAGAAGCTGCACAGCGCCATCAGGTGTTTCACGGATTCCAGGTAGGAGTGATAAATTGCTATAGTCTGTTCAACTTGTGCATGTAGAGCAAGAAACCTCTTCGACCTTACGTAAAATTGCTTGCCAGAAATGACGACAAAACTAGTAGTATAGGAGGCTTAGCCCAGAAATGTCCCTTGATGTGGAACTAAGGTATTGTAGCTGGTTGGCTACAACAAGGGCTCATGAAACTATCATTTTCAGAATAACTTTTAATTTTCTAGATAATGGGACCTAGGTGTTAGAAACACAACTTACGATCTTAAACAGGAAAGGATGGAAGTTAAATGGATAAGACATCTATATATTTTTAACTAAGAAAAAGAACAGTATGCTAGTGACTATCTAAATCTTTGTGAACTGGAACTGTAATGGGTAAAAATACTTATTTCTTGGATACTTCTTGCACGTCAACCTGTGTTTACAATCTTTTGTGTTAGGCTATTAGTGGATGGAACAGATCTGAATCTTTACTATAGTGGTATCCCAAATCAAGGTTGCAACAAAGTCTTGTGAACTAACTTGGGGTTTACTAGTGACTGATAACTATGTAGTAAGTAGATAGCATCACATTGTGATACTTGAGTTGAATGTATGTAACCTACTTCACATGTTACATTCTCAAAAGAAAAGAAAAAATGTATGTAACCTACTTTACAAGTTGTTCTGCAGTTTTACCCAGTTTCTGAAGCTTGCTATTAATGTATGCATGTCTTTCTCTGACGTCTTATTATTTGTTGATAGGTGAACGAAGAAATCATGAAATTAGCTGGACATAAGGCTTATTTCATGCACTGTTTGCCTGCAGAAAGGGGAGTGGAAGTCACTGATGGAGTAATTGAAGCGCCAAACTCAATCGTATTTCCCCAAGCAGAGAACCGCATGCATGCACAAAATGCGATTATGCTTCATGTAATGGGCTTGTAATTGCATTGTTTAACCTTATAGTTAAACTTGTTTTCTTCCTAAATTGTACTTTACTTGGAGCATTAAAGAGCTTGGTGGATATGTCTGTTCATATAACTCAAGGGATTAATTACAATCGTATGGGCTTGTAATTGCATTGTTTAACCTTATAGTTAAACTTGTTTTCTTCCTAAATTGTATTTTGCTTGGAGCATTAAAGAGCTTGGTGGATATGTCTGTTCATATAACTCAAGGGATTAATTACAATCGCCACTAGTTGATCACATCTCAATAAGATCTCTCAAGGGATATCTTATACAATCGTATGGGCTTGTAATTGCATTGTTTAACCTTATAGTTAAACTTGTTTTCTTCCTAAATTGTATTTTGCTTGGAGCATTAAAGAGCTTGGTGGATATGTCTGTTCATATAACTCAAGGGATTAATTACAATCGCCACTAGTTGATCACATCTCAATAAGATCTCTCAAGGGATATCTTATACAACCCTTTGTGGCATCTTGCAGTAAAAAATACTATTTCACCTGAACCCTTCATACCCGAGCTTAGGACAATCACCTCTTTACACCTAAATTTACCTTGCATTTGCACATTGTGTAAATTAATCATTTCAGCCTGAATTTCCAAATTGAGGAGCTATTGTTCTATTCCGTCTTTTAATTAGATTGCCGATAATTCAATGCATATACAAGACAAAATTAAGGCACCATTAATTCATTCCTCGTCTTCCATCTTGAAAAGTTGATTGCCAGTATAAGGACAGCACGGAGCACCTGCTCATACCACAGAATTTCCACTGACGCTGTTCACCTCTCTTCTGAGTTGAACCTGTTCCATGCCGCCTTTGGTTCACAAAAAGGAAAATAATGAGATTCAAGTCCATAATAGAAAAAGAAAAAAAGAGACCGATTCATGCATTGCGTCAAGTCATAAGTATGTGACAGCGCAATCAAACAGACACATGCAGATAAAGAAACTTATTAGTTACCTTGAGAAGATCAAAAACCTTTTCACAGATATATTTTTGCTGAATACTCGCTCCTCTTTGCTGCAACTTATCAGGGTGAACATAAAGAGTTGCTTTCCTGTAAGCCTTCTTCACCGCAGCAGTTGTAATAATTTCAGTCAGCGAGATGGGTTGCCAACCACTATCGGATCCAAGGATCTGCATTTGCAAAAAACAATGAGCATCTAGTGACAATGGAAACTATATTTTGAACAGGACAGAAATTAAATGAAGATCAGTGCAATGAACTTCAAAAACAAAACGTCTTGAAGGGACTCATTCACATATTCTAAAATCTGGTCACTGCAATTGCCCATGTGATTTAAAAATCACTCCAATTTTTAGTTTCTTCCACATTAAGTAATAAACAAGTTCTGATGAGACTTTTTAAGGTAGTATCTTAAGATATTTCAGAACACTCTAGCCTTTGCCTCTCTACCCTTCGGGGTAGGGGTAAGGTATGCGTACATATTACCCTCCCCAGACCCCACTTGTGGGATTATACTGGGTCGTCGTTGTTGTTGTTGTTGTTGTACTCTAGCCTTGCAACTTCCCTTTCTACCCAATGTTCATAATAAAGGAGAAGGAAAAGAAAATACTTGGGCAAGTCGGATACATACATATTGCAGAGTAGAAAGCAGCGCACGTAGGTTCCCTTCCTTCCCGCTGGCCCATCTTTTAATATCAGCGTCAAGAGCTTCAGCTAATCTCTGAAATAAAAAATATACATATAAGCAAGCATAACATGTGCGCATCCTGAACTCCATAAGCACACAATTCATATCAAGAAAATTTACATTTCTCTCAGTTTGCTCTTTCTGAGCCAGAAGATCACGCTTATTCTTCTCCGCAAGGGCTTTTGCCTGAAAAGACCAGTAGAAACATAAAAGTGAATATGCTTGGACAAAGTCCAGGAGCCAGTGTCCAAATAATAGAGTTAAGATACACATACTGCTCTTTCCATTATCCTCTGGTGCCTCTCCAACCTTGCTTTGCGTCTTTGAGCTGATTCACTATTACTTCCATCAAATTTGTCCAAATCCTGCATTGATTCAGTAGGTCATCCTTCTGTATGCCACAAAGTATACATTAGAGAGACAGAAAAAATTAAGAATGATACTCACAGAAGAGGAAAGGCTATGCTTCAATCCGTTCTCTCGGGTTGCACTAGCAATTCGTTCATCACCGTGTCTATCTGCTTGAGACCTTAATTCAGCTGTCGTGCCCTTTTGTGATAAAGCTTTTTCCAAAGCACGTTCACGGGCTTCTGCAGTTGCTCTCTCCACAGCAGCTCGCTCTGCTTTAAGCTTGGCTTCAATGGAAGCTTTGTCTGTTGATACCTTGCTACTTGCAGAAGCCTTCTCACGCTTATCCCGTGCCTCAGCCATTACTCTTTGTCGAACTTCAGCAGTTGCTCTCTCCACAGCAGCTCGTTCAGCCCTTTCTCGGGCTTCAGCAAATGCCCTCTCACGAGCCTCACGAATTGCTCTTTCCACAGCTATTCTGTCTTTTTCCCTTTCTTTTTGTCTCTCGTCTACCTGGGCTCTTTTACTATTATTTTCATCCTCCACTTCTTTTTGCAAAGACTTTTTGGTCTCCTCTTCTACAACAGTTTTTTGATTGCTCTCTTCCTCGTGCATTTCGGCTTTTATCTTTTCATCATTGTCCAGTGGCTCATTGTCTTTGCAGTCACCAGCTGAGGAAGAGCATTCTAGTTCTTCTGAGTTCTCAACAGACTTTTGGTCTCCCTGAGCTGCTTTAATATCTTTGTTTTTCTCGACCTGGTCAGCAGCAATACCATCCTCCTTGATCGTTTCCTCATTTCCTACATGTCCAGGGACACACAAGTCATCCCCCTCATCAAGATTTGAGTATAATTCTCGGTCCCTACCTGTCTCATCCATGCATTTCTGCTCAAGGTTTATGTCAGTAAAAGTGGTATTCTCTGATTCTTCAGAAGCGTGGACCTCAGATACAAAATGTGATTCAGTATCACTGGCATTCTCCTGAATCACATTGCGGAAGCTCTCTGTCTCAAAAATAACTCGTTCACAGGGAAGATTGTCCCTGCCGTTCATGCAAGTGGAACCACAATTCACTTCCTTGACATCCTCAGATGAGGCCGCACAAGTGCCTTGCACTACGCCCTCAGAGGTATCCTCTTCACTAGAATTTTGGAGATCACTCGCAGTTTCCAATATCTCCTTTTCCCAAGAATTGGAGGACTCTTCAGTCACTCCATCCTTCTCACACTCACGTTCATAGATGGCTTCAGAAATTCCTTGTACCCCTTCAAAATTAACTGCCTGCTGACTTATTTCAACATCATTATTCTCTAGTTGATCTTCACAAGCTTCTTGTATCTCACTTGAACGAGGACTGCCATTGAGATCAGGCTCATTAACAGCACTCTTTGAATTTTGTTTATCAGCAACACCCGGAGCCACACTTGTCTCCTGATCATCCTCACTCTTATCAGATGCTTCCAGCCTACTATCAGCTTCTTCAGCCTCCTGACTCGCTTCAGTCTTTTTACTCTCTGTGAATTTATCTGCTTGGTTCTCTATTTCTTCAGTTGCTTCATACTGACAAGGCTCTAATGATATCTTCTGATGTCCTTCCATCTCAGATCCTTCTCGTTTTCTCTCACTTTCTTCCCCTTCATGACAGTAAGGGGTTTTCTTTTCACTCGGTTCAAGCTCATGAACCCCATATGACCACTTCTCAGCGTGTTCGCCACGTTGGAAATCTTCCTGTCTACTCTCAATGCCTACTCTCCCGCAGTCATGTTGGGGCTTCTCATCATTTTCCACCCATAGGAAGGCTTCCTTGTGCATAATCTCAGTTTCTTCTTCGTTGGAGCTCCTCCTCAATCTGCTTTTGTTTTCTTCCACCTCATAAACATTTTCTAACTTATTTGGCACTATTCTGCATTCCAAGTCTTCATGCTTCACTGCCTCGTCTTCTGGAGGTGTCTCTCTGTTGTTATGTAGATTATCATTCTCAGTTTCTTGGAACCCAACTTTTTCCTCAGTAAGTGTCTCCTGAGAGTTCTGCAAGTTCTTGAAACTCCACATCTTATGAAATATTGACTCTAGATTGTTCTTCATGTATTCAGACTTCTTCAACTCAGCAGAACAATTTCCGTTCCCCTTAGAAAAGCCATACTCATTGATGACTTCTGAATTTACATATTCTTCAGAATCATGCATCAAAGCTGAATTAGAAGTATCCTTGAATTGCTCTGGAGCTTCTGCCTTCCCAAGAAGGTTTAGTGTTGGCATTTCCCCCATTGGTTTGACGTAATCAGGTTCTTCACCAAGCTCTATGGTCTTGTTACTTGTATTCATCTCCTTAAGCTTGTATACATGTCTATTATTCTCCACAGATGGTTGAGAGTGATTGTTGCTCTCAACCTGCTGAGATACCATGGTTTCTATATTCTCTTTTCTACTGCTTACCACTTCCGGAAACCAAGCTCCTGCTACATCTCCTTGAGATGCTTCAGCATTTTCAGTCTGGGTATTCTGCTTAACCATTCCAGCAACCCATTGCTGTTCTTTAAGATTGATGAATGAAGCAAAATCACCATTACTTGATGGGATTCCTCTGCACACCTCAGCGAATGGTGGCAATCCAATACCTATTTTTCTATGCAATTCCATAGCATTTTCCCTGTTACTTCTTGTGTTGCACTCAACCCTATTATCCTTAGATTTTAAGCTACCTTTAGACCTTGGTTTCTGAGAAGCTGGAACACCTTCTTTTTTTCTCTCCATTAGCTCTTTTGCTAGTCTAATACTTTCTTGAGCCTTCTCTATGGCTTTTTTCAATGTGGCAGCAGAAACAGCAGCTGCTGAATTTGCATCAAGTTCCTCATCAGAAGAAGTAGGTGAAGTATTAGTGGGACGAATACCGCTTCCAGATGCTCCATATTTGGGATCAAGACCTGAAATTTTTGATTGATTAGGCTGGCCCTTGATGTCATTAGCCATGGGGCTTGAAGTTGATGCCCCTTCAGTGGAACTTGATCTTCTCTCAAATTCATCATGTGCACTATAAAACTTATCATTAAAATGGAATGCATCCCAGCTAGATCCACTTATAACCTTCATTACGCCATCTGAACTTTGTTTCTTGGGGATATGCAAATTCTCCTTTCTATCACCCCCATTAAATAATTCCCCGCTAAAGCTCCCGTCATGATGTGCTTCACCTGAGCTTTGTTTCTTGGGGACATGCAAATCCCCATTCTTATCATGACCTTCTTTAAATATTTCCCCACTTAAGCGCCTGTTGCGATGTCCATCTGAACTTTGTTTCTTGGGGACATGCAAATCCCCAGTCCTAGCATGCCCTTCTTTACCTGTTTCCCCACTAAAGCTCCTATTGCGACGTATTTCATCTGAACTTTGTGCCTTTGGGACATGCAAATCCCCCATCCTACCACGCCCTTCTTTAAATATTTCCCCACTAAAACTCCTGTTCCGATGTATTTCATCTGAACGTTGTATCTTTGGGACATGCAACTCCCCCACCTTATCACGTCCTTCTTTAAATATTTCCCCACTAAAACTCTTGTTGCGCTGTACATCACTTTTTACAAAGGGTGCTCGCTGAAAGGCTTCAGTCTTTGGTAAATGAGAACTTTCATCTATAAAATACATAAAACCAGGGACAGCATGCAGTTGAGCTATCTGCGTCATCCCATTTGAACCATTTCTGTTTCTTTGGCCGGTCTTATGATAAGATAAGTTGAAGTGCTTTGGCCCATCAATAGATTGATTAGTCGCTTCACATGAGGACTCTTTGTGCCTTCCACTTGGACTAAATTGATCTGATCCTTCGGAAGCAGTCCTACATGCAACAAATACAGGAAATTAAGGGAAGTATCATAACTCATGTTGTACCAAAAGCAACCAATACACATGAAGTCTTTTAAAGAAACTGTGAGAAAAATTGGGAAATGCTACAGAAAATGTAAGCAATCACGGGAATTGCTAGTTGATGAAAGACTATCTTTTCTCACTCATGGAAACACCAGTAATGGCATAGCACATAGTAAATGGCCATAACTTTCAGAGCACATAGCATCATTAAGTGTGTATACTTAGAAAGGCTATAGACAAGTAAATAAATATCAAATCAGGATGAATTTGGTCTAAAACCTTCCTCTAAGAAGACGAGTGAGCATGGCTAACATTCTATAAAACATGTAACTCAACCAATTAAAATAACAAAAGGACATCAGCTATCGTGCTACAAAATAACCTACAGACAGGCACATTTCAGAATAAGCAACAAATGAGAATTATGTATATTCTTCTTTTTTTGTTGAAAATTTTATTAAAGAATAGCGCGCAGAAAGTGCAATGAAAAAGTGGTACAAACCCAACAAAATGCATCTTAGCAAACTAGCTACAAGAGAACTGGGGAAATTTTCCATCCTATCTACTTCTTGAACATTTTCAATTTTGCAACAAAAGGCTAAGAGAGCTACATCTATGTTTTCAGGTACAAATATTTTCCTTTTTGCCTTCAAAGTATCTTTTATTTCTCTCCTTCCACACAGTCCACTATATAGCTGCTCAACTTTGTGTCGCCTTTTTGTAGTCCTCTTCTACTCCAACGAAGTAATAGGTCTTCAGGAGATTCTGGCATGCACCATTTAAATTCAAGCAAATTCAAGAAAGTATCCTAAATCTGATTTGTGTTTCTGCAGTGGATGAATAAGTGCTTCGCATCTTCATAATCTTCTTCATACCTTACACATCTGTTGATAGTCATGCATCTTCTTCGTATAAAGGTGCTTCCTTTCTCCATATCAGTTTCAATGGCCATTCTTGTTCCTGCTGTCTACTTTGAGACAACAAGTTATATGCAGACTTTACTGAAAAAAGGCCATCCTTACATTCTTTCCATATTAACCGATCAGGTACTAACTGTAGATTTTATCTATTTTCACTAAAAAGGTTTGCTTATGAATATTTCGTACCAAAAATATATGAATGCTTCAGCGGATATCTGTTCTTATAAAGAAGATCCATTTTCCAGCTAACAAACATCATATATTTATCACCCAAAGTAACATTGACAGTAACAAAATCCATATACCCAATAAACCAAATAGAAAAACAGAAAAAGGACTCGTGTTAAGCATATTAAAAATATACAAACTGAAGCAAAAAGACAGAAATTAGGAACAGAGATGAAACAGCGCCATATAATTTGAAATCATTGTGCCTTTGCTTTTTCCTTTTCATATTTTTTTCTATTATTTTCTTTTCCGCATTTCAACCACACACAAAAAAAAGAGTAACATTCACAAAATTAACTGTACACCTCGACACATCAAAATCGCCTCCAACACTAAGAAAAATCGTCTTCATTCTTAAAACAAAAAGAGTAAAACGTCAAAAAGTTTTTAAAAAAATAAATGGAAATGAACTCACCGAGTTTTACCAGAAGAACGTTTAGCACCAGAAAACAACTCATCATAAGGCACAGCAATATCTTCTTCACAAAAACCACCAAAAATGTTGGAATAATCAAGTTTAGAGGAGGAACTTCGACAATCATCGGAAATTTTAGCATCATCTAAACCAGAAAGATCAAGTACCGGAATCGACGAACCACGAGAACCTCCAAAAATCTCAGAGTAATCCGGAGCTCCGGAAGAAAAAACCGGAGCTCCGAACTTTTTCTGTGCAAAAACGTCGTCGTACGGATGTTGTTTAGCTGAAAATGAAAAGCCATTAGCACTCGAAAGCTTTCTTCTGTGTAAAGGCCGTGAAAGTGACTCCATTGAAGTAGAAATGGAAGGAGAATGAACTAGGGTTGCTATTTTCAGGAGGATTTTTTTTATGTAATTTTTTGGGGTTTTTTTTATTTGTTATTCGGTGATGTTTGTCTGCAGAATCAGAAAGACAAAGAGAAGAAGAGAAAAATGGAAGAAAATGTTTTTGTGTGACAGAATAATTACAAAATGTGTTTTTTGAAGGGGTCGATTTGTAATTTTAGTGTTTTGTGCTGTACGGTATTCTTGTTTCCAAGTCTCCAACTTGGATTGATCAACTCGTTCGGCGATTATTTTGGTTTTTTTTTTTACATATTTTATTTATTAGGTTTCTTTTATGTTTTTAAATAGTTGCATCCTTCAAATGGCCAGCTTTATTTTTCTATTTTTCAAGAAAGCCAGCTTTCAAATTCATAACTGCGAGACCAAAAAACACAGAACGACGTACATCTTTTAACGTTTTGTTTACTGTAGATATTATTTTATTAACTTTAGAGAATATCACTTTTATGAAAATCTGCTAGTAAGCAAAAAAAATTATTTTTTTCCATGAAAACAACACAATCTCTTATTCATGCATCAATAAGATAAAAGAGTTACAAGTTCATGTATGATGCTTTTATTTTAATTTATTAAATATCTTACTAAATTCGACAGTCTAATGTGAAAGATTTCAGTTTGTCGTTTCAACTAGTAATTTTCTTTCTCCTATCTCTAATTGGAACTAACTTTCTCTTAATTACTTGAATTATATTTCATATTTTTTTACAAAAACAACTTGACATGTTGTAAGAAACCACATGTGCAAATTTTTGATTTGGAAAACTACCAACAACAAAAAAAGGAGGTAGAAGCTAAAGTTTTTTCCATCCCATATTAAAAAAATTAATTAGAAAAAAATATTAGTCAACGATGTTTTTGTACTATAAAAAAACCAAAAGTGACCAACAATTTGAAAGAAGAAGAANATATATATATATATATATATATATACATATTTCCACAAAATATGAGTGATTGATTTACTTGGAAATTACATTTTTTATATATATATTTCCACTTACAGAATAAATTATTCCAGCCAAGCGAACATAACAAAAGCAAGCCTAACCGTGTTTTTTCCTTTTGCTGAATTTTCAAATAAACTTTCAAATTTAAATTTGGCATTACACTGTAAATTTTGACTTGTGCTGTTTTTATTTTTAAGTTGACCATACGGATATGAATTTATTAGTTTCTCAGATTGGTAGTAGGAATTAAAAGGGGGCCTCTCTTTTCCCATTATGGAAAAATGATTAATTATAGCACGTGTACGCGTAAAACCAGAGACAGTATCGACATTTAATTTTAGAATAAAATTTATTTTACTCCCTTAATTTTTAGTGGTTGGGAAATGATACCCCATTTTTGAATGGGAAAGAGAACCTCTTTATGTAATACTCCCTTTCTCGTGAAATATTTTCTTTTTGAATAAAAATTGTTTTTTTTACATGAATAATTTTTACAATAATCAAGTTCTTTTATTATAGCCAAAAACTCTACATATAAAAAATAATTAGGATCTATATAATTTACGGAATATTTTTTTTTATTTCTCACTCTGTGTCTGCTGCCCACATTGGCTCCGACTAAATCCGAATTCGAACCGGAAAGTCCCACATTTGGGGATAAAGCGCTCCCTAACAAAGACGAATCTCACTTTAGCCTTCTTCCTACATATTTCAAATGTAACCTTGTCAACTATAATTTATGTTCAATAAAGATAATTTCAATAATTATTTTAGTATAATAATTTTAATATACAAAGAAAATACATAAATAAATTAATACTCATGCAACAATTATTTCATCTAATATATATTTCAGAGAAATTTACCAATTCTGTGTATTTTCCCCCTTCTAATTAGGGGTTAAGCCCTATAAAAAAAATGCTAAAGCATCCATGATGGATGTGCGTTCAACATATTTCTTGAATTTTGTATACAATTTTGTTTTATTGCAAAAAATTTAATAATGACCTCAACATAAACTCAATATAATAAAAAAATATCTTAACTTTTTCAAGCAAAAAAGATGAAACTCAAGTATTGGTTTTGATAAAAAATATTATACTCACCTTTGAAAGGATAGATCGTGAGAGAAAAAAAATCTCACTGGAAAAATAATACATAAGGGGGTTCTCAACTATTAGAGGGGGTATTGTTTCTCAACTATTAGAGGTTAAAGGGATAAAGTGAATTTTACTCTTTAATTTATTTTTCCTCTTCAAAAAGTTTGAAAAATTGTTTTTTTCTTTTTGTTTTTTTTTTTCTTTTTAGAACGACAGAAGAGAAATCTGCTATATTCACTTAAATTATGAAAGCCTATGTTCAGTCCTCGATTTTCAAGCTCAAATACTACTTACAAGTTACAACCATGTTTTTTTGAATTTTTAACTTCAAGTTGTTGGAAAATTACATTAATTAATAATAAGTACTAATAAAAAATGAAAGGAAAAAGCATAGCCGTTTCCTCATAGAGATTCTCATGACAATTATTCCTATATTCATGCACTTAATCATATATACAAAGTATGGCCCCTCAACTCACATGGTATTATGAATCTGAGGATGCTATATATGGAAGAAGCTGCCATTATGGAGACATAATTTGGAGCACCGAACTGGGAAAAGTCATATTTGCTCTAATTATTAACTTTCATTTCATTCATGATCTAACCACTATATTTGTTACATGTGACGATGAGACCACAATTTAAAACTTTAATACTATATTAAAGTTTCACAATTGTAAGAAACACGATATCTCTAGTTATATTATCACATAATTCATTTCTATAGACTATAGAGATGATGTTTATCCATGAATCTCCATCTATTTTTTTATTTTATTTTTGTTGCTTTTTGTCATATATTAAAGCGTAGAAGCAATGAATTCGAGTCAATTCTGTGATTATAAATCAGTAGTCTCGTGAATAAACCTTAAAAGATGCTCGTTCATTTCATGGTTGAAATCCTTGAAGTTATTGCATTAGTGGCCAGAGGCAGAACTAGCTTTCTAACATTAGAGATTTGTCGTTCCTCGCCTGCTTGATCTTAATCTATCTATCGATCTATCTATATCTATCTGTATTATCATAAAATTATGAATATAATGTTAGTTTACAAAAATAATCTTTTAACATTAAGCATAATAACTCACAATAAAAGAATATAACCGGAATTCTGACATTGACTTTGTAATCCTATTAGTTTTAGAACATAATACTACACGTTAGGAATCTTCCATGATTATCTTTAGGAATTCTATTAGTATAATTGATTTCAGTCATAAACATATAATGCTACATGTTAGCATGTAAACCTAATACCTTAAGGCTTAAGCAACACGTTATTTTGTCAACTGGTCGAATTCTTATTAAAGGTATATGGAAAGTTTAATAAAATCAATTTCATAAGAACCCTTTGTATTGGTAATACATTATCACTCCATAATATCCAATACCAAGAAAAAATAAAAGTAATGTTAAATGTACAACATAAAGCGTTGTAACTAAGAGAAAAAATTCTCACAATAATATATTTTTTATTATATTTGAACTGTTTTCCTGTCACGACCCTAAACCCGAACTCGGTCGTAATGGCGTCTCTCGTGAAGATAAGGTCAACCGACACACTCCCAATTCATTTTAAGCAATTAAAATAACACCAATTTAAGTCTTTAACATAATAATAATCCCAAAAGAAGGTGAAACTGTACAATTGCGGAATAAACATAGCCCGACATTGGGGGGTCACCAGTCATGAGCATCTACAATCCGAATAAAGACAAGAAAAGTCTACATAGTCTATTACAGAACTAAAATAGAGTAAATAAGATAGGGGGAGAAGCACTGGGCTGCGGACGCCGAGCAACTACCTAGTGAATCTCTGAATCCGCCTGAGCTGGAGGAAGTCAACACCCGCTAGCGGGACTCGAAGCGCCTGAATCTGCACATAGGGTGTAGGGAGTAAAGTGAGTACTCCAACTCAGTGAGTAATAATAATAAATGAAGACTAAGCGATAAGAAATCACGTAAAAAGGCACATTAACATGCTATAAAGAAGCAGTATAAAGCCAGTAAAAGGAATGATACAGTGAAAACATATAAAGTCACATTAGTCCAGTTTAAGCTTCTTTAAAATATTTTTTTAACAGTTAAACAATTAAATGAAAAGCATCTAGATTAGATAAGCACATAAAAATCCGCCCCTCGGGCACAATACCAACAGACTCAGCTCCTCGGGCTATATCTCATATCACAATGGGTACACGCGCTCGTTGGGGGTATGCAGACTCCGGGAGGGCCCCCTTATGGCCCAAGCGCAATAACAAGTTATCTCGTGGCGTAATCAAACAGGCTCTCGGCCTCATATCAACAAGCCACCTCGTGGCGTACCATCTTAGGCCCTCGGCCTCATAATCATAAATCAGTATATCCTCACAATATAGGCCCTCGACCTTACTCAATCAAAATCTTATAAGCCACTCGGGAAACAGTAAAACATGATGCTCGGCCCAAATTACCATTTAGAAAATCATTTAATGTATTAAAACAGAGTAAACATGACTGAGTTATGAAAACGATAGAATATAGCATGACTGAGTGCAAGTATAAAGTCAAAACAGTGAGAAAATATCAGTAAAAATCTCCTAAGGGTTCAAATAGTTGGCACGAGACCCAAATATGGCATTCAGCCCAAAACATAATGATAACAAACAATTTTCAATCAAATGCGCGGTAAAATAGTCATTTGGGATTGACTAAGTCACAATCCCCAACGGTGCACGATCTCATGCTCGTCATCTAGCATGTGTGTCACCTTAATATAGTACAATGATGTGTAATCTGGGGTTTCATATACTCACGACAATATTTAAAATCATTACTCACCTCAATCTGGTCCAAACTCTAGCCCACGACGCCTTTGCCCTTCGAATCGGCCTCCACTCGCGTTGAATCTATCCAAAATCAGAATCACGACGTCAATATATGCTATGGGAACGAAGCCCATGTGAAAATAATCAATTTACAACATAAATCCCGAATCCAAAAACCCGACCCCCGGGCCAACGTCTCGGAATTCGAAAAAATTTACATCCATAGATTCCTTATCTCCCCACGAGTTCATACATATC